GATCAGGGGGTTGGGGCGCCGCCCTCTATCACCCACAGAGCAGGGCAATCAGGGGGTTGGGGCGCCACCACTGTCACACTCAGGGCAGGGCCGATGGGGAGGTTATGGCTCTACCCTGTCACACACAGAGCAGGGCCCGTGGGCGGGGGAGGGGGGTTGGGACGCCACACCCTGTCACACACAGAGCTGCAGGGCGATCAGGGGGTTTGGGCGCTGCACCCTGTCACGCTGATCTGGTGCCAGGAGGCCTCGCGGCTCCGCTGATCCCGGTGCTGGGAGGCATATTACCCTTTTACTATATAGGATAGAGGCCTGGGGGCCGGCTGGTTTGCCCTGAAGGGTGTCCTAGATCAGGGTGGGGGTCCCCACTGGGGTGCCTGGCCAGTCTGGGTGAGGGGCTGAGGGCTGCTTTCAGGCTGGCGGGAAGCTCCCAACCGCTCCTTTTTTTTCTTTTTTTTTTTTTCTTCTGGGTCAGCTTTAGCTCTGGCTCTAGCTCTGAGGCTTCCGCTGCTGGTTTGTTTGCTGTTCTATAATCGAAACAATGTATAACTTCAGCTCTGAGATCCCAGCCGGCTATATTTGTTAGAATGTTTCAAACTGCCAGCTCAGAGGCCGGAAAGTTAGGTGGGGAACGTTGCAGTCTGCAGTCACGGGAGCAAGGAAGCCTCATGTTCGCTTCCAACTGCCTGGCTGCCGGCCGCCATCTTGGCTGACAGTTAATTTGCATAAGGATACGCTGATTAGCCAATCAGAAGGGTAGCGGTCGTACGCCAATTACCATTTTTCTCTTTTATTAGTGTAGATATAAAAGCCTAAGCGACTGAACGACCAGTCGCTATGATGCACACTGACCACCAGGGGGCAGATGCTCAACGCAGGAGCTGTCCCCTGGTGGTCAGTGCGCTCCCACAGCCAACCTCCCACGGTCCCTCCCCCCAGCCTCCCTCCCCCCAGCCGGCCAGTCCCGATCGGCCCAGATGGCCCCGATTGACCGTGCATGAATTCGTGCCTCTAGTCTAAAAATAATGTAGAATTTATCAATAGGATGCTTTATTGAATCCTTGATTCAAAACTTAATGTTTGTAAAGTTATTTTATAAGTAGATGCTAAAATAAGCATTCTGCAAGAGTATATTTTAAGAGGAGGACACTTGTTTTAAGATTATTATTGTTAATATATCATATTTTAAAATCAAATTGTCAATTTTATTAGAGGGAGGAACACTTGAAATAGATAACAATTTGCTGATAATTATACATACTTTTAGCTAATCCTAAAATGATACTGTTTTGGGATACAATTTAACAAAAATATCTAGCATGTTTTAATGAACTCTTATTCTATAGGAAATAGAAGAACAGGAAAAAATGTTCAAAGAGAAGAAAGTGATTACAGCGGAAGCCTCTGAATTGGATATTAACAATACAGCGGACTTAGAATGGAGAAAAATAAGTGACTCCAGTTTGCTAGAAACAATGCTTTCTCAAATGGACTCACTCCATACTTCAAATTCCAATAGTTCTGGTAAATATTTTAAAATCCTTTCCATTTGAAAAAATTCTCCTGTAGTAAGATATTTTATTTGTCACACTTTAAATTGTAGCTTTTTTTTCCAAGTAATTCCATGCCCAACCCACTGCTGTTTGCCAGCTGCTTATTAACTAGTGAAAAATTAAACAATAGCAGCAGATCGAAGATGGTGAGCAGGTGTTCATGAGAAAAGCCACTTTAGCAAAGAAAATATCCGGAAATTTGATGCAGAGTCCAATCTTTGTTCATTCATGCAGCAGGTGGTATACTTCAAGTGAAAACACCGTTTGCTGTCTCCAGAGTAATCTTGAATTACATCTAATTCCTATCCCAGTAAGAGTTTATCTTCGCATCTTCAATTATCCTGAGATGCTGTTTGTGTTGAAAAGATCCATCTGGTACATAAGCCTAACGTCCATAAATACTTTAAGTAGATCAGTTTCAGTTTGTTGGTGGTGTTCGTAATGAGTGTTGTGTTTATTTAGGTGTTTTGCATATTCTGATTATCTGACATCAAGTATAATACTTAATGTATATTTCTCTAGGTTTCACAAATTCTGCCCTACAACATAGCTTTGGTTCTGTAAATGAAGCACCATTCTACCTCTGGGGATCATCAACTAGTGGCTTGACCAAACCCTCCGTAACAAGGCCTTCTGTAAGAGCCACAACTAAATGGTCTCAGGTGGGCAAACTTAATGATACATGTATATCCATCTATCTACTATCTATTTATCTTTCTATAACTTTTTTTAGATATATTTTTATTGATTTCAGAGAGGAAGGGAGAGAGAGATAGAGATAGAAACATCAATGATGAGAAAGAATCATTGATCGGCTGCCTCCTGCATGCTCCCTGCTGGGGATTGAGCCCACAACCCGGGCATGTGCCCTTGACTGGAATCAAACCCGGGACCCTTCAATCCACAGGCCAACACTCTATCCAATGAGCCAAACCATCTAGGGCTCTTTCTATATTTTTTTTAATATTTTCTATATTATCTTAGGTTATACAAATGAGCATGGGTATTTTTGTCACACATCCAATAGTTTAGCTTTTATTAGAGTTGAAACTACATAGAGCATATATTTATAGAAAAATTTAGTTCATTGTAATAGATAAACAATCTTGAGTATAATGCTCAAGTTATTAAAACATGTGTCTCTCTTATTTCTTCTAGGCTTTCAGTCCAGAAGTACAAGCAAAATTTAATAAAATAACTGCTGTGGCAAAAGGATTTCTTACTCGTAGGCTTATGGAGACAGATAAATTAAAGCAACTTCGACAAACTGTAAAAGTAAGAAGATCTTTATAAATTATTTGTATTTCACTTCTGTATCAGTTTCTGTCAGTCTTGTTACAGCTGAATTGGCAAATTAGTTCAGAACTTAGGCAGATCAAACTATTTTTAGTTATTGTAATATAGGCAATTTTAGAAATCTCATTAATTTCATTCTGATAATTTTTTAAAATATGTAAAGAAAGTAGTTTATGTATTTTCATCTCACTTTAAAGTGAGTGCTGTTTTGATTCTGATAAGTAATAGATTTGTGTTCTTAGTAATTTTGGATTGACTGAGAAAAAGAACAAAAGGAAACTCTAGTGATTGTGAACCTTCCAAGAAAAATGGTTTTTAAAGGAGCATTTTTTTCTTTCAGGACACTATGGAATTCATAAGAAGTTTTCAGTCAGAAGCACCATTAAAGAGAGGAGTTGTTTCAGCACAGGATGCTTCTCTTCAGGAAAGAGTGCTGGCTCAGGTAAGTGTACGGTCCTAAAGGCTTTGGGAAATGGAAATGCTTTATTTCTCTCCCTTCACTTAACCACAGAAAATATGTTTTAATTAAAACTTTAATCTTTTTCTTTAAGTAAAGTGTATATAATTTTATTGAACCCTGACCTCATTTTTTAAAATGGGTACAATATTTTCTTCTTTTAAAACTAGTTGCGGGCTGCCCTGTATGGTATTCATGATATATTCTTTGTAATGGATGCAGCTGAAAGAATGTCTATTCTACATCATGACCGAGAAGCTCGCAAAGAGAAAATGCTCAGGCAAATGGTATGTTATCTGATTTTGTAATGAATAAGTGAAAAAGAAAAACTGTTGCTTCTACAGTCACAAAATACTTCTGACACCAGCTGTGTGGGTTTTCCCCCCACACCAACCAGTTCTTTGATACCCTGGGTGTCATTCAATTAAGTTCTGATAGTATCTACCTGGAGTTAACAGATACTGCAAGTTAAGGAGGCAGTTAAGACTGTCCCCACGTCTGACACCAATCACAATTCCCAGGTTGTCACTTAAATTTCTGTCTGATGCTTATAAATTGGGGTTCCCATTAACCCCCTCCTTCAGGTCAGTAATTTTATAGAATGCTCACAGAACTCAGGTAAACACTTAACATACACTTATTGGTTTATTATATAACTAGAGGCCCGGTGTGTGTCATAGTGACTGGTCGTTCTGCCATTTGGTCAATTTGCATATTAGGGTTTTATTATGTAGGATAAAGGATATAATAAGTTATATAGATGACTAGCCAGATGAAGAGATGCATAGGGTGAGGTCCAGAAGGATCCTGAGAGCAGAAGCTTCTGTTCCCGTAGAGTTGGGACAATCTTTCTAGCACATGTACGTGTTTACTAGCCTGGAAGCTCTCTGAACTTTAGGATTTTTGTGGAGGCTTCATCATGATCAATTATTAACTCAATCTCTAGTTCTTCTCCTGTTTCCAGAGAATAGGAGATGAGACTAAAAAAGTTCCAAACTTCTAATCATGCTTGGTCTTTCTGATGACTAGGAGTCCACCCAGAGTTGCCTCATTAGAACACAAGATGCTCCTATCACCAGAAAATTCCAATGTGTTTAGGAGATCTGTGTCAGGATCCAAAGTCAAAGACCAAATATTAAAACAAAAGATGCTTCTGCCATTCATATCAGTCAGATTAAAAGGGTTTTAGAAGTTTAGCTCTCTTAGGAACTTGGATCAAAGACCAAATATTAGCAGGAACCAGGGGCAGAATCATATATATATGCTCTTTTGGGTTTGGAATACTTGATACTAAATGTCATTCTCTATTGACTTCAGCACCCTGCCTATAATTCTTAAGCACAGGTAATTCCTGGGATTACCAGCAACACTTAAGTCTATAGACTGATTAAAAGAAATCGGTGAAAGAATTGCATATTGTTTTGTGATTAGATTTTGGAGTTTGAAGCTTTGAATGTTGCTTGGACGCCTAATAAACTATCATCTACTCCTGATGAAATTTCCTTGAAACTATCATGTGCCTTTTCCTTTTTTGGAAATCAGAGTTAGAAAACAGGCTCCAAGTTCATTTGAAATATATCAGAGTGTTGGAGTTCTGTGGTTTGAAACAATGATCTTAGTGGGGTTGGCAAAAGAAAAGCAAATTTTATATTATTTCATTGGTAAAAATTAATTTAAATGTTTTTAATTGGACTGTTTCAATCATAAAGACTAAGTTAAAGTTCAAAATACTGGTAAGATATGCCTGTCCATGCAATTAAGATCATCCTATACTGTAATTTAGTGGTATTACTGGGTACTGTTAGAGCTTTGTTACTTTTGTATTTTAAAGGATAAAATGAAAAGTTCACGAGTGTCTCTTTCCGCTGCAACACAGAAGTCTCTTGATAGGAAGAAGTATATGAAGTAAGTTTTTTTCATGTCATGTCACATTAATTTAATTATTATCATACCCATTCATTTTAGTCATCTGTTGGTCTGTATATTCATATTAGAAATAAAGAACAAAAAATAAAAAAATTTTAAAAAGAAATAAAGAACAGTTCACTTTTCTGCAGCTGAACTGATAGAAATCCCTTTTTGATATAAGAGTTTTATAAAATCCAGTGGTAAAATCTGATTTCATCTTTATATATATATATTTATTAACTACTAAATTTATCAGAGTTCAACTTGTGTAACTGATAGTCAATCAGATCTTAAACATAGTTTATCCTTATATGCAGTGTCACTTTTATATCTTTTAAATATGTTCATTTTCTAATATCCTAAAGACTTAATGGGAAGAAAAACTTAATGCAAGGAATATCCTAATGATTATCTTATTAAAACTCTTTTTTCTTGAAAGTAGTCTTGAATATGCTTAATTAGAGGTCTTTCGTGGTACACTCTTTTAAGATGATTTGTTTCTGCCACCATGTATCACATTTGTAAACATGTCTTTTCCCCCTTTCTGAACTCATTGTTTGTGTGTCCTTATTTGTATATTGTGTTAGAGCTGCTGAAATGGGAATGCCAAATAAGAAATTCCTGGTTAAACAAAACCCTTCTGAAGCAAGGTGAGAAAAATCACTTAGCCTCAATGAGAGGTTTTTATTTTTTTTTTAAAAAGAAAATGTTATAAATCCTGAGCTTGCTTTTTATTCGCTTTGTTCCATTTTTTCTCAGTAGAACACTCTCTGCTGAGTTGGAGGATCTCAGGTTCAGAATTCGTTTTAACATCTGGTCATGTACCTGGTCACATGTCAGACCAGATATTCCTGGAGCTTTCTATGAGACATGTTGTCTCTGGTGAAAATTTGAGTCCTTATGTCCTGAGTTCAGTCCATGAGGGGGGAGAGGGAGTCTTTGATATTTATTTAAAAACCTTCGAGCCCTAACCGGTTTGGCTCAATGGATAGAGCATTGGCCTGCGGACTGAAAGGTCCCAGGTTCAATTCTGGTCAAGGGCATGTATCTTGGTTGCGGGCACATCCCCAGTGGGGAGTGTGCAGGAGGCAGCTGGTCGATGTTTCTCTCTCATCGATGTTTCTAGCTCTCTATCCCTCTCCCTTCCTCTCTGTAAAAAGTCAATAAAATATATAAAAACCTTCGAAAGCTAACTTAATATTTCTGATCTGTTTTCTACTCTTGTAAGAGTGAAGTTTCTTCTCTCAGATATTTGAAAGGAAAAATTGGCTTTTGTAAAGTATATAAATAAATTACCTAAAAGCAGCAGGAATAATACTTATGTTGGACATCTCTTTCCTGACAAAAAACTAATGTTTGAGTTCTTGGTGACCAAATATAAGTACCATATTAATTTGCTTTAATCAGTTTGCTTTGCTTTGTAGTAATATAGTAGCCATATCATTGCATAGATGACTTCTACCACCCTGTTATCATTTTATCTAAAGAAAATGGGGAAAAACGGAATTTATCCTGTTGAATTAATTTTTTTTTTATTTTGTTAACAGAGTTCTTCAGCCAAACCAAGGACAGAATGCTCCTGTTCATAGGCTACTTAGTAGACAAGGGTAAGAATGCAACACATAAGGGTATTAAAAATATTCAAATCAAGATTAGCTTTGAGAGGGAAAATAATTTAGTGCTCTTTGTATAAAGGATAGCTGTTTTTCAAATGTGATATTTTTTATAAAATTAGAAAGAACTTTTAAAGTTTTGTGTTCAAAGATAACCCTTTGGTGTACTATTGTATATCATATTTTAATTATCATCTTATGTTGGCATGCTTTTACTTTTCATTTCATACCATTTTGCTCATTAAATATCGTAAACATCCGTATAGTAATTTCAGCATCACCAAAGTGTTCTTCAACAAAGTATGTTACAGTCTCCTGCTGAAGCAAAGTATAGCTTCCCAATGAGCATGCATGAGACTTTAATTATTTTCAAGCTTATTTGTGTTAAGAACAGTTGATGCAGTATGGTTGCTTTCTTTGAATGTTGAACATCTAGACCTTAATGCAAGTGACTTATTAATTCTTTTATATTCAATTAGAACCCCTAAGACATCAGTGAAGGGGGTTGTGCAAAATAGACAGAAGTCTTCACAGAGCAGAGTGCCTAACAGAGCGCCTGTTTCAGGTGTGTAGCAATGAGTTTGCGAAGCCCATTCGAAAGAAACAAGTGCACAAGCTGCCCTGTAATGCAGGCCTCACGCATGGGATCGGTTGTCCTTGCCACCATAATTCTGGCATATTCACAGTCATTCCTATAAAGTGATCATTTGTGTTAGTAGTTTGTGGCAGTCAGGAGGAGATCTTAGTAAAACTGTTCCCAACGTTGATTTCTACAATAATTCCATAGAAACACTGTTGTTTTTAATCTGAAAATTTTATAGAATTATACATGCTTAATTCAGAAACCTTTTTATAAATGAGTGAAATGTAACAGTGATCTCATGCCTAAGTCTATGCATGTTCAGTTTTGGGGAAGTGTAGCTATTACCCAGGAATACTTTATCTGTACAGAAGGGAAAGAAATTCTCCCTCTGACCACAAGATCACATGTGAATATGCCAGTTGGGAGGGGGTAAGTTCTTGTTTTCTTGTGCTCAATAAGAAGCTTGCGTTAAATCTATGTTCATTATTAGAGGATTCTTTAAGGGCTAAACTAAATAATGTATTTTAAAATTCTGTGTATGGTGGCAAGAGACAAATTCAGTGTTGAGCTAATGCAAAACGCTTAAGCTAATGTTTTAATATTTTTTATTTATCTTTGTTAACACACTTTGATAAGCTCACAAAAAATTACATGATCTATTAAAAATACTTTCTAAAATGCTTTTTTTAATTATACTACTTTTTAAGCATCTAAAAGAAACCAAAATTAATCAGGCAATGACGATTAAATTTATAATAAATTATAATCTCATTAATATACATTTAGCATATTTTAGAGCTTTTATTACTAAGTGATTTTCTCCAAAGTAGGAGAAAACAAGCAACATAAGAATTTTTTTTCATATTATCACCACTTGCTCATGGAAGTTCAAAGAAGGAATCAGATATTGATCATAACTTGGAAATGATTGCTGACCTTTGCATGTAGAAAGTGAATTTCATTCATAATGTTGCATGTATGGACGATAATTTAAATGTCATCTTTTGGAAGTCACTGTGAGTGACAGTTGGTCAGTTCTTTTATGCAGTTGAAGATCCTGCTCATTCCAGAGGGAGTCAGAATGAGCTGTTTGAAAAATAATCTTTTGAAAGAACTCAGACCAAACACCAGATCTCTTGCTTGTGAAGTTATATAGAATTTTCAACTTTTAAAAATTCAACTTTTTAAAAGGACATTTTCAATTTTTCCCCATGATATATATATATATAGATATATATATATATATGGTGATAAAGCCTAGCTAGTTGGCAAATCATTGAGGAATTAATACTATTTTGCCTCAAATTATCTATTTGCCACAGTGACTACTCTCCATGTTCTTTCTCATGCATTTCATCTCCACTTTTTGTCATTTGTGAACTTGTAAGCAAAATAGCAACTACTGTTTTTATTCAGGAATGTTCAACAATGTCACTGCAGTTAATATACATGAATTTCAGTATTGAGAATTATTGTGATTTAATTGCATCGCAACATAATATAAATGAACTCAACCCTTGAATTAGCATGTCTAATTAATATATACCTAAACAGGCACAGAAATCCTTTCCTAAGATTTACTTAGACATGAGTGCATCTATAATAAAAACGTAATATGCTAATTAGACCGGACAACCTTCTGGACGAAGCCGGGCCTGTGAGGGCCCAGGCAAGCCACCATGGCTGCAAGGGCCAAGCCCCTTGCACGAAATTCATGCATCGGGCCTCTAGTATTTGAATGATTTAAAAAGACTAGAGAATCTTACCCTTTTACATAAAATGAAAATTTGGGATATGTAAAATTCTCATAGGGATTCATAGTTGTTCTTGAAAAGATTACTCTTTCCTGTTTAGATTTTTAATGGTCTGGATTATGTTTCAAACAAATTTGAAATTATGCTCTGATTTAAGCTACATGGAGAATAAACCATTTAGTAAGCAACTTTAGGAAATTAATTTTTATGATGACAGAATATCATAATCTTAGAATGAAGTAGAATTCTAAGGTGTTAAAATTTACTGCAAAGCACTTAAAGTTGTTTATAGGTTTTACAAACTAAATTGCAATGTCTGATCTTGTATGCTTTAAAGCATATTTGTTCACTTTATGTTTTGTGTTTAACTCAAGGGTTGGTAGTGAAATTCAGAAACCACTAATTAAGGCAGAGTAGGAGGCAGCAATGAAAAATGGGTAAGGAATGCAACAAAGCAGGTTGAATTGGGGTCTCGGAATCTCTGCTTCTAGCTCTGTTACTTAGGCAGGTGACTTACTCTCCTGTGTCTCAGTTTTATTGCAGAGGTAGCAGTTTCTACCTCAGGATTTTATGTGAGGATTAAATATGATAATGTATATTGCTTAACTTAGTGCTTGGCAAGAGCATTAAATAGTATCATTACAGAAAAACTAACATTGAGAAATAATATTAGTTTTGCTCTATTTTTAGGAGTATATGCAGGAAAAATCCAAAGAAAGCGGCCAAATGTTGCGACAATTTAAGAAGACAACATTCATTAGGATAAAGGGGGGGAGGGTTCCATCCATATTATTGTCCATGCCCAAGACTTTCATTTCACCCTGGACTGTTTACACAGACAAAGTGATGTCAAAGGGCTGAATAATTATGTGGGTAATATGGTCAGTCTGGCTAATTCCTTCCCACACCCCCATTTTCCTTTTAATATTAGGTTTGGGTGAAGACAAATTAGTATTTAGTTAATTGACTCATCTCTATGCTTAACCTGTACAAACATAAGTTTGTTTTATGTACCCATATGTCTGTTGAGAACTTTTTGTAAAATTAAAAGGATATTTGGGTTTATATTTATAAAATACTGAAAAGGTGTGATAAAATATAGGTTCTGAAATATAAATTTCATTCATCTCTGCATACTGATTGCTGAATTTGATATATTAGATGCTGTTCTATTCAAGGGGAAATTATTGCAGAAAAATGTTTTCTCCCAGTTTTGTAAAAACTGATTAATCTCTCAGCCTTCATATTCTTGGTCTTACAGGATAACCACGTAGAATAAAACATTTGCTTGCTGATTGTAGGTCCACCTAACGTTTACCACAGAAGTATCTGGGGATCACCCTTTTGGTCATAAGCACACATGTCTCTCAACAGCTAGTTGTCTTACAGAAATGTTAGGTTTGATGTTTGTTGTCCCAGTACTCTTAGAAACATTTCTGCTGAATTATAAAATCTTTCTGTAGAGGGTGACAACTTTGGTGAAGACAGTACAGTCTTCCTGAATGTAGTGGCATGCATTAATGTTACATTCATCTCTGTAACATAGAATGTTGCATGCAGTTTTGTGTTCCATTTAGTCTGTATATTTTGTTTCTTCAGAGTCTGCTTTTTCTAGCATGCTTGATTTAGGAGAGAACAAAGGGCTATATAACATAATAAGAAGGTCAGATTTTCAAATGGGATAGTAATATTATCTAGTTGAAGTTCTGCATTATTTAAGAAGCACTGCCTTTTAAAGTTTTTCATCACTAACATATTCATTTAAAATATAAACCAAAAAATGTTACTAAGGGACTATGATTTTATGAAAGAGAATGCCACTGTTGATTTATGATAGCATTTCCAAAAAGGGCTTTGTGCTTCTCACATAAAATTGGGACTGTGTACATTTAACCTGTCTGAATTTTTAAAAGATACTGGTGTTTGAAAATGTAGCCTATATATATTCCCAATATTCTTTAAAGAATGGAGATAAAGACTGTTTTCTTTGCTTTTCTGTTCTATTTAAAATTTAACTTTTACAGCCAACCATGGACAGAAAGTAATAACCTACTCTGTCCGGGCGTAAACTTGATTGAGATGTATCATTTGTTGAATGAGCAAACCAGGAAGTTAAAAGACAGGTAAAATGTCTGAGTTACCAATTTTTTTATTTGTAGGCAAGAATATCAAATTATCTTAATATGATAAATTATGCTTTATCGTTCTGAAACCTCAGGAGACAGATTGCTCATATCATTGTGGATCTTTCCAGTAAGAAAGATACTAAAAGTTTTGTGTACACTAATACAAATTAGCTAAAACAAATAGTATGTTTTGGAGAAAGTTAAAACTAGTTTTAGATTAAGGATGAGAAACTTGAGTGTGTTTTTTTTTTTTTTAAGATAGAGCATGTGTGTTTTATACCTTGTTTAAATGTTCACAGCTTTTCTCATAAAAGTGCCAGACATTGTTTTTGTGCTTTTAATGGATTTTTATTTATACGCATTATTTTTTTAATATTTACTTTGAAGTGGAATGTTCATTAATGTGAATTGTATTTATTTTTATACTTTAATTTTCATTAGTTTTGCTTCTAGGAAAAAGACAAAATAAACTTTTCTTAAAGGAAATCTAGTTTGATCTTTTTTATTTACCAGGGAAAGGACTATTAAGGGATAGATGTTAAAAAGTAACGGGTCAAAACGTTAATACTGTAATATGGTCATTTTTTACAATTAAAAGTCCCATGAGAAGTATATCCCACTATTTAATATTAACCTATACCTGTGCTTATTCCAGTATTTACTGTTGCATGACTCGGACTTCTCAGAAGACAAAAAGTTCACTAGAGGTGGAAATGGCTTCGCTTACTAAGTTAGAAGCCTGCTAAGGAGCGAATGGGAGCAAATACTGAGGTCGAAGCTCACATAAAAGCTGCTACTTTGTGCAGCTTTGAGTCCAACTCTTGTTCCTGCCTGTCGTGTAATGTGAGCCCAGTAAAGTGCTGCTCATTTTCACCTCTTTCTGAGATATACTGCATTGGATAATCTGCAAGGCAGTGTGAGAAGAGCCCTCGCTTTTCCCATGGCCACCCTTGAACTCTTGTTCATTTCATATATTGGGAATAATGGATATGACAGAAAACTTATTCACACTGAGCGGAAAGAAAGGGCCCATTCTGGAGATGAAGGTCTTTGTTTTCTGTCAGGTGTCACTGTTCCATGAGCAACCATAGGCAATCTCTACCCCCTCCCCATGAAAAGTAATAGTTACAAAATGAAAAGCAAAAGGAGTTGGAATGCTTGATCTCTAAGGGACCATAGTAGGCATATGTATATGTAGATTATAAAAATAATTAAAATAAAAACAAAAGAGACTTAGTTGTTGAATATACAGCCAATCAAACTGGAATATGGTGCACTGGAGTCCCATCCTTGATCAAGTTGTAGACACCTCTGAGGGCAAAAATTGTGTCTAACCAAATTATACTTGAAAATAAATATTGCCTTTCCCTCATTTATTTCTTCTTCCTTTTTGGTCAGTTTCTCCGTGGCTTTCAATTCTTCAGTTTCTTGAGGTGGTTGGCAAAGTTGCCATCTGAATGGTGGTTTCCTTCTCAGCGAGTGGTGAGAAAATCCCCTATTCACACTTTGCATAGGTTTTAACATTGGTTCAGGATGACTTGCACTATCTGTTGAATGCCCACTGGGGTCCTGTGTATCTCTCCAGAGCAAGGATCATGAGGACAGGACAGGGCACCTGTCCTGGGCCAGGACACCAGGGACGCGGAGAACAGAAATCTGCCAGTTCCCAAGCTCATGTGTGCATGGAGACTTAGTCACCCCGAAGCCAGACATGACTGAAACACTGAAGACTTGGTTTGTGACCAATCTGTCATGGAATGGGAGACACCTGGGAGTCCTGGTTAACGGAAAGGCCCAGAGTCCCGTCAGCGGAGCACAACCTGGAGACAGACTATTGCCACATTTTTAGCCCCAATTTTATTTTATTATTTTTTAAAAATATTTTTTTTTTATTGATTTTTACAGAGAGGAAAGGAGAGGGATAGAGAGTTAGAAACATTGATGAGAGAGAAACATCAATCAGCCGCCTCCTGCACACCCCCTACTGGGTATGTGTCCGCAACCAAGGTACATGCCCTTGACCGGAATCGAACCTGGGACCCTTAAGTCCGCAGGTCGATGCTCTATCCACTGAGCCAAACCAGCCAGGGCAAGCCCCAATTTTAGATCATATTGTGGGGTAGGGAACCCTCCACCCAGGGAAATGTTGAGGTGGTGTGGATGGATGAGCCATGGTCCGACAGGCCTGGGGAGCCCCAAAGCCCTAAGCCTGATGGAGGGTTGCATACTGCTCATCTGTATGGAGTGTGGTTCAGGGTAGCCAGAGGCAGTGAGGGGCCAAATCACAGGCACACATTCACTTGGGACAGAAGGCATGTGCCTGAATCTCAGTCCCTGTCTATCACTGTCACTTATTCCCACTGAAGACACAACAGGGTGTAACTCCGAAGTCTTGCCATGGAGAGGTGAAGAAGGACCCACTGTGGAATCTTCCACTAAGGGGCGCCTTGGAGTCCTGGTTGCTGGGTTGGTCGCAGCTGCTGGAGGCCCTGGCTCGAGAATGAACACATGCAGCTCTGCTCACCTCCAGAGCAAGGTGGATAAGACAGCCTGGCTCCTGGTCCTGCTGCAGGGGCCGGCTCAGGAGAGACCAGCCCACAGTCGGGCTCTTGTGGAAAACCAGGCATCTGCCAATGTTCCTACCTACACAAGCATAAAGGATGCTATTGAACAGGAAGACAAATATTGTGAGAACTGTGAACCTTAATTGGTGAGACCGGACAATCTGCAACAGGAGACATCTAAGAGTCCTAAGTCCTGGATGGGACAGGGACCCCATCAGCACAATCATTTGGGGACTGACTGTTGCACCTGTGAAGCCCCAGTTATCTTTTCATATTTCAAGGGGAACCCCTCCATCAAAGACAATACCCAAAAGGTTTGAATGAGCTATGGCCCACAAGCCTGAAGGGCTTCAGGTGCCCAAAGCCTGCTGCAGACATGCCCACTATGCATGTGCATGCTGCGCGGTTCAGGGTAACCAGGGATAAGGAAGAGTTCAAGGGTAAAGAGGTGCCTTTTACTGGTGTGGGTTCATGAAAGATCCAAGGCGTCTCCCTAATTCCAATCCCTATTCTACTTAATGTTGCCTATTACCCCTGAGGAAGATCTTGGGAGTACTCAGAGTATCCCATGTTGCCCTGGCCAGTGTGTTCAGTGGATAGAGCACCAAAGGATTGTGGGTTTGATTCCCAGCCAAGGGTTGCAGGTTCAATCCCTGGCCTAGTCAGGGCAAGTTTGGGAGGCAGCCAATCAATGGGTTTCTGTCTCTCTGTCTCAAAAATCAATGGAAAATATATCCCTGTATGAGGATTAACAACAAAAAACTATCCCATACTGCGGTGGGGCCAGGCTATCCTCCAATGAGAGACATCTGGAAATCCTTGTTGAAAAGCTCGCGGTTGAAGGAGGCCTGGGGCAGGAGTTAAGCTGCACATGCCCATTTTGTTCCGTTCCCCGTGACAAAGGGACCTAAGACCCAGCCTTGGTCTTGTTCCGGGTCCAGGGCTAAATGCAGGAGTGGCCAGGTCACTCTCTGGGCTTTTGGGGAGAAACGATATGCCAATGTCCAATCCTGCACCTGCACAGAGGTTCCTATTCCCCCAGAAGCCAGGTGTCCCTGAAACTCTGAAGCCTTGATTGGTGAGACAGGAATTTCTGAAAACTCCCAGAGTCCTGTCCTGGAGAGGCAGCTTGAGCAATTGCGGGCTGTTTCCACCTCTGTAGCCCCAGCATGTGATTGTATTGCAAGGGGGAACCCCCACCAAGGTCGGATTGTTCCGAAGGCCAAGGTCCTACAGGCCTAAAGGAACCTATAGCCCAAGTCCTTCTGAAGGGGTGCCTACTGCATGACACTTAGTTGAGACTATCCAGGGATAACAATAATTTCAAGGGACATGATTGGTTGTTCACGGTGCAGGATCAGGGGTGCCCACGGTGTCTCAGTAATTCCCATCTCTGTCCTAACTACTGTCAGCTGTTCCTCCTGAACAAGACCCGGGGGAACTCAGTCTTGCCAACATTGGTTGGGAGAAGCTGGAGGTTTACCCTCCAATAAGAGACCTGGAAATTCTTGTCAGAAGGGTCGTGGTTGGTGGAAGCCTGGATCGGGATGGAACTGCGCGCTCTGGCCCTGCACAGTTCTTCAGAGCAAGGGGAGTAAGTCCCAGCTCAGACCCGGAGCCAGTCCAGGACTCAGTCCAGGAGAAGCCAAGCCACTCTTTGCCGTCCTGAGAAAAACCAGGCGTGGGTCAAAGTCCAATTCTGCACCTTCTCAGAGGCTCCTATTCAAACAGAGGCCAAATATCTCGGGAAATATTAAGCCTTGGTTGGTGAGACCCAGGAGATCTGGGAGTGGAATGAGAGTCCTTGGTCCTGGAGAGATGCAGGACCCCAGCGACAGCACAACCAATAGGGGAATGGCCGTCACCATCCTTGCAACACCAGCTTCAGATCATATTGTTCATCCAGAACAATAACCAGGTGGTTTGGAAGGGCATGGCTTCCCCGGCCTGGACAGCCCAGCTGAATTGCTGAATTGCTGAATTGATGGGTACTGCCCATCCATGTGTCGTGGCGTCAAACCCTATGTAGATGTTCTTACTCAATTGGTGTCACTTTCCTGCACTGACATAATGCTGTTCCGAATGCAGCTGACAAGAGCATTCTTAGAGACATCTCTTTAGGAAGTGTTCTAATTCACTTCACTACATGCCTTAGGGCCATGGTCGGCAAACTGCGGCTTTTTGGCCCCTTGAGTGTGGCTCTTCCTAAGCCTTAGGAGGACCCTAATTAAGTTAATAACAATGTACCTACCTATATAGTTTAAGTTTAAAAAATGTGGCTCTCAAAAGAAATTTCAATCGTTGTACTGTTGATATTTGGCTCTGTTGACTAATGAGTTTGCCGACCATTGCCTTAGGATGTGGAGACACTTCCATTCAGCGATAGCACAGACCTGAATGCAGCACGCAGGTTGTGTTCTTAGAAATATCTTTATTGTAAGTGTTTTTAAAACTTCAGTACATGCATTACACAATGGGGACCACCTCGGTTCACTGATATGACACTGGTGACCACATAGGTTTTAGGTAGTGATTTTAGAAACATCTTTATTACAACTGTTCTGACACCTTTTACTCTATACATTAAACTATGGAGATCAATACCAACCACTGAGACAACACTGGCATGATGGTAGATTCCAAAGTGTCATTCTTAGAAACCTGTTTATTACATGTGTTCTTAAAACTTCATACATGGGTTAAAGAATGGATCACTTTTACCTTCTGATATAACACAGGTCTGAAGGTAGCTTACAACTAATGTTCCTAGGGACATCCTCAGTATCAGCATTCTTACACACTTCACTACATACATTTCAGAATGGGGACCACCTCCATGTAGTGATGTAACACTGTTCTGAATGCGGCTTCCAAGCAATGTTCTAGAAATATATTTATTACAATGGATCTTAAGCACTTCAG